TGGAGCTGGGGCGGGGCGGGGGTGGCGGCAGTGCGGGTGAGAGCAGGGGTGAGTGCGGGGGCGGTCAGAGCGTGGCTGGTGCGGCGGAGGCGTGCAGCCTGCGGCTGTGAGGGCGTGTGAGCGAATCCAGCGGTACCGGCGGTGATGCGAGGGTTGTCAGCTGGCGGTTGGTGAAGGGCGGGTGATGCTGATCGCTGAGGGACGACCGTCATCATCCGGCCTTCGCTGGGCCTGGCGGGATTCTCCCCGACGCAGTGGTTATGCTAATCGCCATCTACCTCTCGGGCCGTTGGTCGAAGCATGGGCTTATACGCGGAATTTATGGTGAGTTCAATTGGATCGTGGCGTATTTTCATGTGGTTTACCTGCATCGCCTGTCTCCTCTTATTACGACATAACTTAATCGTTCATCCTAACATCATTATCATCCATCAAAATAATGTGAAACTGTTTCCGTCGATTGTTATTTTCACCAAGAGTGTATGTTTTGGATGGATATTAAGGAGGGAAAATTTTAAAAGAATTATTCGCTTTGGTCGTGGCTGAAATGAATGAAATGGTAGTGGCATCAGTTTTAACTCAGATGTTTTGAGATGAGTTTCAGCAGTTAGGTACTGAGGACATCACAGCAGCACAGTTATACTTTCGCATAGATAATGATGCTCAAGTAGTGCGAACGGGAAACTTCAATCAGACAAGGAGGACGATACTGTACGACATGGCTCCCGGAGAGGGGGGCCGCTGGTAATCGTGGCCGAATTGATGTTGCCGCAGAAGTATCAGAACCTGCATTGTCGATGTAGATGATTTGTCGAAGGGTTGGTTTAGAGAGCTTCCTGCCCTCACAACAGGCAGTAAATACTTAGAAGGCGGGCAGTGTGCACGACGTTACTCCAAGAAAGATGAGGTGATCCACAAAAGAAAGGGGGGAAATAACGTACCGGTGGAGGTTGGCTACTGACACAAAGAAAAAACGGCGTCAAAGGACGGGTTTAAGGATACGAGTGAAATACATCAAGTTTTCTGGAAAGTCGGCGTACAAAGAAGCTACAGGTGCAGTGGCCGCAGGAGTAGCGATAACAGCAACCTCGATGTCGATGATTAGTCGGAAGATCCAGTCATCAGAACAGCAGTGACGCGCTTCAGAGACGTTGGTGTTCACACAGCAGCTGCAGGAAAGATGGGAGATTTTCGATTGCCGAAGAAAGAAACCAGCAGCAGCCGCGGGGCGGGGGTGCAGACGGAAGCGAGGGCGACGGACAGGCAGAGCATTAGGGAATTTGCGCACGCCCTAGCGTACACAACTGTCGGTCTTCTAAAGGGATGTAAAACTTGAACTGCGCATGTGCAGAAGACCCATAGTGTTTTAACGTTGGAGGTTGCACAAACTCCCTATTTATACTCCGATTTAAAAAGCTTCGTTATGGCTTATTTTTTTTGCTATTGGAGCTCCAGATTGGATGACACCCCCCTCTCTCGGTCCAGCTCGTGTCCTTGAAGTGCCACCGTGTTTAAATCGGGAGTATGTAGACCGGCCAGCACGCGACGGAGGTTGCACCGGGAGGCGATGGGGGCGGCGGCCCGTCGAAGCTGTCGAAGCGCATCGGCGGCGGCGGCGGCGGCGGCGGCGGAGGCGGCGGGAGGGCCTGACGCGCGGCGCCGCGTTGAAATATGAGCGAAGCGCGTGCGGATCGGCCGCTGGCGCGCGCATGTTTTATTAATTGTGGCCGGTTCGGATTTATGGGCGTCGGCAGCCGTCCGTCTCCGTCCGGAGCTCACCTGCGCCGCCGCCGCCGCTCCCTGCGCCGCGTCATCAAACGCAGCCGCCCGCCGCCTGTGCGGCCGCCGCCGCCGCCGCCGCCGCCGCCGCTGTTCCAGCGATGCGCTGGGTGCTTGCGGCGAGCGTTGTGTGCACTCGTCAAGGTTCCGTAATTAAACGACCCGTGCTTCGGGAACGACGATCGTCTGACTGTGTCTCGGAAACAGAAGAGGGGAATTGGAATGCAACAAGGTTCACTCACGGCTTCCACTCCAGAAGCACGGGGAGTTTAATTATACTTGACAATTAAAAAGAAAATCTCAAATTTCAATAAACAATTTTCGTACTTCCATCTTTATACATATTTTTGCTCAATTAACTCCTTCGAAATGCGGCTGTGTGAGTGAATCTTGGAGAAAGAGACGTCTTAAAATGTAATTACGGTGAAGCCATGATTTTATGGTGAAAGAAATAAGACAATTGTATTTCCATATTTGATGAACTATAAAATTAATAAGGGTTATCAATCAACCCTTGCTTCGACAACGATGGTTATTTGATTTGAACTTCAATGTAGTAAAGAAGTGCTCTAATTTTGTGTATTTTGTTGTATAGGTACGGTTTTTTCAGGGCATCTTCTAAATAACATGTTATCAAATTTTCATAAAACTATCCTAGTAAAATTCAAGTATAAATGTTGAATCTCCGTTTCGATTTGTATAAATTACACAGAAAAAGGAGCTTTTGCTCCAACTCCCTTCCTACAGCTTATCTTATCAATCAATAAATATTTTAGGAAACTCGTGAGAGGATTTCATTGTGTTGAAAACCCGGTGTTTGCTGCGATTTCTTCCTTCCTCGACGAGTTAGAGTTCGCTGGATAATTTCAGAATAACAATGTTGAAATTGCTCCTACTGCAAATATGTTTCAAGTACTATCAATATGATACGCAATATCTCTGCTCATAACTGCAAGTAGATAATTCAACTGTGAAGAGGAAAATACACTGATAACTATAAAAACGCGATGTGTTAGCAAACATCATTGTTGATACATCATTAGTGCCAAAGGACACGATAGTATTTCGGTTGGTAAACAGGGAAAGATTTCAGTGAAAAATGGGACCGTTACATATATTGTGCAATTAAACGGAGCTTGCCAGTGAGATTGGGATTACCTGTATTGTTATCTGAACAGACTTGACATCGCGGTACACAAATGAACGTTCGTCTATAAAAACTACAAAGACGATTTGTGATTTCGTAGTCGAAGTAATGTATCCGAGAGTAATAAACGAGACAAGAAGACATCAGATTTCGAATTCTTTGTTACGGTTGCAAAATCTGTAAGGTAAACATGTGTTCTCCGCGGTACAACGAACATTCACCTGCAGATACCGAGTTCGTGACTATTCATGCCCTGCTAGCGTATCCCAATAGCGGAATCTGGGTACCATCGAGTGGACGACTTTTCTTCCATTGGCCGGATCTCTATGCGGCAGAATACGGCCGTCCAACAAACATTGACCTGCAAGCACCTTGGTTCGTGCATGCGTGTGTGTGTTATATTGTATTATATTGCATACGTGTGTGTGTGTCAATATATGTATATTGACACCTGATCACGTGCGAATATTCGTGCCTAAATGAAAATTCGCAGTAAAAACGCTATAGCGAAGTCGTATCGCAGTATGTCGGCTGGGCAGCGAGCACACACACGAGTGAGTGACTGACAGTATACACGAGTGAGTGTTAGAACGTACACGGAAATTTGTGTATATACGAATATTCGTGTCTAAACGAATACTTGCAGTAAGAACGCTAGCGATGCCATAGCACGGCATGTTGGAGTCTGGGCAGCCATCATCTGGAGCGCACGACGTCAGCCAGCATAAACGAGTGAGTGTCGGATCTTATGCGAGATTTGGTGCCTAAACGAATATTCGCAGTAATACCATTATAGCGAAGTCTTAACACAGTATGTGGGAGGCTGGGGAGCCAGCTTTTGACCACACGACGACTACGAGTGGCGCAGGCCCGCGGGTGGAGGGGGGGTGTCGGGGCAGGTGCCGCGCGGGGTGCGTGCGTGCTCGCACGGGAGCCGAGGAGGCCCCCCGCCACCGCCACCGCCCGCTCACGCAGAGGCGCGTGCGCCCACGAGGGCGGGCCCGCGCACCCGGCGCTCGGAGGCAGGTGCGGCGCCAGCTGACGCCGGCCGCGGCGGCCGCGCCGTGGAGCAGAGCGTGTCGCCGCACGGGCGGACGTTTCCGCTTCCGGCGTCCGGTCACGCGCGCGCGCGCTCGAGGGCCGCCCCC